CAGAGGCCCTTTAGACAACTTTAATATAAATGTAATGGACACACAAACCGGCGACTATCTCTGTATGCACTATGGAAATGCACCCAAGGACAGTCCCCGGTTAGTGTAGGACTATTGTGAATAATGGAAAGAAAAAAAAAGGTAGGGCTATGGATGGGTTGCTGTGGACTGGTAAATTGGGAACTATGGATGACTATGGCACCTGCCGAAACAATGTAATTTTTACACGTAAAAATGGCAGGCGGAGACTCGCCAACTCACTGACCGGGCCCCGGGAATGGTTGCTAGATATAGCAACAGAGGGGCAACGAGAATGTGAGTGGCTGAAGGGTTAAGAAACTACCACCGCTTTCTACTCAGATCATCTGCTCCAGCCGAAGCCTCCTGCATCCCTGGCCCACTCGCGACTTACGAATAGTTTCTTACCCTCCGAGCAGGATCACTGCTCTCGCGACTCCACTCTGAACGGCCAATGAAGGCAAGCCAGAGGTGGGAGACCTGTTCCTTGTCATCTTTCACTCCAGCCAGCCAATTAAGGCAAGCCGGAGAAGAAGGAACGGTGACTTCTCCCTGGAGCACTCGGGATGATGGTAGCCCGCGGGATCGCTAATGCCCGTCACCTCGCCTCAAGGTGCCCTGCGGGCTTATTATTATTATTATTATTATAGGAAATATATATAAAGATTTTGATTAGTAACTATACGTTTTCTTTTTTTATCTCAGTAGTGGCACGGAGTCTGGAAATATGCCCGGTATATAGCAATAGGCTCACACACTATTACATACGACTTATAACATAAATAGTGAAAAGTGGGTGTTCCATTGTGCAGTGGCACAAAGTTTCGTAATGTCTAATTGTCCCAAAAGGGCTGATGCCGATTCGGAGTCGCGGAGAACCTAACAGGATACCGGGGCTTCGGCGCGACGTGCAGGAGAAGTAACGGGGTGGTTTTTAGTCAGTAAAATCTGACACTCTCCCTCCCACCTTACCCAGGTGGGAGCAGTCATTCGATGATTTCCCTCCTTAAAAAAAATCGTTTGCTACCTCTTCGGGGATAAAAAGGCGAGATGTTATATAAGTATATTTTTTTCTTTCACATCTAAAATATATAAGTAGGTAATTTAATATTTTGTGCAAAAATTTATTCAAACGCACCACAGACAAGCCCAGTTTAATTACCTCAAAAGATCAGTTAGTTACTTAGAATTCAGTTCGCTTTAGACCTATATAATAGGTTTGAGAATGTCATCTAATATTAAAAGGTAAGGTTGGGCAGATGTAATGAAATGTAACAGGTCACTTAATTAATTATTATCTCACTTAGTAAAAGTACTGCCTTGTAGCCTATTTGCAGAAATAAATTTACTTGTTTCATTTGTTCAATAAAACACTTACTTTTTATAATAACTATTAGTAAATCAAATCAAAAATGTTTATTTGCTAAAATACGGTACAAAAGGTATATTATAAAGGTATATTAGGTATATTATATAATGCAATATTTTCCAGCGTATCCTGCCTGCCTGCAAATTTATTATTAAAATTACACATAAAAGCTCTACTAGTTTCGAACCACCGGCTTTGTGCACTGTTCTGAGTTTCATGTGAGAACGAGCCTATTTGTTATCAGTCAAGAAGACACTAATGAGAAAATTCAACGATTAAGAGTTGGGGTCAATCCTGCGATCATTTATACTACGCTACGCCCTGCTGACCACTACAATGAACCAACCAATCACAATCACGCATAAAGCGTTAACGTTTCGATTAACTTAAACGTAAAGGTCTCTGCACACAGAGCCGTCCCGCTCGACGCGATGGTAACCGACGCGCCGGCTCTGTGTGGCGGCGTCCGTAATATCTAGTACATTACAACTGCTCAATGTCGCGTCGCCGTCGCCGTACCTTAAGACAAACTCATACTAAGCCATCTGTATTGGTCTTGGAAATATGTAGGTAGATACTGATTTTATAATTTATTCAGTTTTTCATTTCACCTTACCATCATACCATGTATAGGGAAACACTACAGCTATAGTGTGTATGTGTTGTGTGTGGAGCGCCATACACACACAAACACACACACACACATCAACAGCCTATTATAAGTGCCCAATGCCGAGAAAAGCCTCTTCTGACACGGAGAAGGTAAGAGCATTAATCACCATCTTAGAAAGTACATAATTATTATAACTCGGAAAAAATCACATTGGTACTTGCCGTTGGTAGGCTTCGCTTCTCCGAGCCACCACGACTCATTACACGCACTACCACAACGCTATAGCTACCAATAACAATATTATTGCTGACCTATATAAAAAATGTAGGCCTATGAACTACCCATTTCCCAAATACAATGTCTATAAACACAGTCATTACGTACGGTCATTCACCTGTGAACAGATAACGTACATGTATTGTGTTCCAATTGACTGCTTTTTTTTGTTTACAGGTATTTTTCATATGGAATGCTTTTAATACTGATGTACGAAAAGGTTTTATTTTTTAACTAAAAAAAAAGGTTATAAATAATAAATACTGTATTTTTATAGGTAGGTTAACCTATTTAAATATTTGAATGTGGAATTTGTGTGTAGCGACGAGACTGCAAAGTACGTAATTTCAAATTTCAATAGATAGATGGAGCTGGTTACCTACCCATAGTGGACCTAATAGAAGACACATTTTAAGTGTGGGAGAGCCATGCGTCGGCACGAATGGGCCAGCTCATCCGGAGTAAAAGTAAAACCACGGCCTCACAGAAAACCGACGTGATACAATCCTCAAATTCCCAATTCCCAAAAGGCCGGTAACGCACTTGTAACGCCTTGGTGTTTCGGGTGTCCATGGGCGGCGCCGATTGCTCACCATCAGGTGATCCGTCTGCTCGGGTACCGGCTTATGCATTAAAAAAAACACGTTTTGTCTAGATCCCTCGTTGACCCTTCACCTCTACTAATATCTGATTGTTTTATCTTTCATTTCGAACTATTTTACTCTGAGTCCAGCTGCGATAAAGGCAATAAGTAAGTAAGTAACAATAACTTGTACTTTTAAGTAGGTGCTGTGTTCATAATTACTAGAAAACTGCTTTTTGTCATGCCCACAACAAATTACCTTGCTACCTACGTAATGACATTAAAGGTTAAACAAATAAAAACAACACATTTTCATTTGAAAAATTAGAATCTTGACATCTATTTTCAACTTAATAATTCCAGTGATAAAGTCTAAAATATATTCACAGTTGGTTGTCTGAATAAAACATTTTTATTTGTAAGTTACACGGAATTGTAATTGTGGGCAGCGGTTAACGTCGACCGGATTATAATAGCACGGGCCATAAACACAATGGCCACAATATCAGTGTTGCCGAAGGGCGAAGGACGAAACCCTGAAGGTCTAATGCGAGGGCGGAAGTAGGTACCTAACTTCAATGAAACGGACGCTCACAATAAATAAAATGTAGTTACAAAGGGACGCGTTGACATTAGGACCTTTATAAAGAGAAGGAAATAATAGCAGTGTTATTTATTTTTTCATTAAATTGTAATTAATAATAATAAGTTGGTACAAGCACAACATATGATTAGAATCTATGAGCTATTTATGAGCTGTCTATTCCGCTTGGGTTCTGCAAAGTATTAAATATTAGTTTCTACTTACGAAAACTATAATCTATATACCAATAGGCTCGAAGGAAGTGTCTACCCATGGGACACTAAAAGTGACACAACCTCTAAATGAAACAAAATTTAAATGATATAAAAAAAACTTTATATGGACAAGCATATTACAAAATTAATGATTAAGTATATAGAGGATAAAAATGCTTGGATGCAAGCTAGTCCGGCTCCACAGGATAACGAAAAACATTGATGTTTTAATGAAATCCAAACACGTAGGTAATTAATACAGCCATGTTGCTAAATTGTATATTGTTTAACTTACATAATCATTGTAAATGTGAGAGCCCTGTAAAATATTAAATTAGACTAGTAGAATACATTTGTGTCAGCTTGGAGCTGTCATGCTCACTCAGTCTCATGGGCGGTGGCACATGCACACAAGTGATCCACTGATCACTTGATTCCATACAATAATATGGTTGAGTTGGGCGGTGCTTGTGTACCTACGTGTCATGTTCGTAAACGGGCGCCGTCAACTGGGACTGGTCAGCTCCAGACTGTATTTTGATCTCTTTAACTGTATTTTAGTGTTACATTGTTCTCGCACAATTCAAACAACAAAACTATGTACCGTAAAATGGGGTGGATAGGGATCGAGAGGTGAATAGAGACAGAAGAGGGGTGAATAGATATTGGGAAATTGTTCATAGTATCGATTCACCCCTCTTCTGTCCCTATTCACCTCTCGATCCCTATCCACCCCATTTTACCGTTAACTAGAGAATTGTATTGTGAACCTGATTGAAAAAGAGTAGCTAACCTATGGAGTTTCTTGCTCGTTCTTCTCCATAGAAATGTACACCTTGGAATGAGCAAATAGATTCACTATTAATTTTTTTTTGTTGACGTTCAAAAGTGCCTTTCTGGTTGAAATAAATTTTGACTTTGACTTTGACTTCGAAGTCACAGACCTGAAATATGTGGGTATACCAACACTACTGCCTATCATTTGCCATTATACATAAATGCAATTTGAACTTAAGAAACGTAAGTAAATTAATAATATATGTCACTTAATTAATATGCTACTTAAATAATTTATCATATTTAGATGTTTAGGAGAAAAAAATTAATAATATTTCCTTTTTTTAACGTCCTTGAGCGCAGAGTGGGTCAACTGCAATATCTGAATATAACGAAACGTATCTTTGACAGAACATTGGTTGTTCAACGTCAACAACTAACTGTCAATGTCATAAAAATGTACTAAAGATGCGATTTCACTGATTTTTGATTAGAAAAGTTTGGACGCAAACATTTAAATAAGAAGAAGTGTTTATTATAGTGTTTAAAGTTTCATTTGGTCCAAAATGTCGGCAACGACATCTTACAATAACGATAAAGTAGTGATGGGTGAGGTGGAGTACCCGGCGAACGACCCAGCGTCTGGGGCGTTCTTCCAACCAGATTATAAGAAGTACATCAATGTTTTATATCTTTTAGTAACTGAAAACTATTTATTAGTCACTCTATATTCATTTACTTTAACATTTTAAAGTCTAAAAGTTGTTTTAAAACTTTAATTCCTTGTCATGACTAAGATTCACAATCGTAACTTATTCCTAAAAATTACACAGTAATTTACTCCAAAATTATTTAGTTTCGTAAACAAGATATAATTTTGATTAACTACTGCATATTTAAAGGCGTATTGTGAGATGAAACCTATTATTTCTGTGTTTTAGAAATGAAGACCTGAAAGTGATGTTAGATGGGTCCAAAGATTCTCTGAAACTGGAGGCTATGAAGAGGATCATTGGTATGATTGCCAAGGGAAGAGATGCTTCAGACCTGTGAGTATTGTAACAATAAATACCCATACAAGAATACTTGATATTACAAATAGGTAAATGAAATAAGTATTCATAACTTTAAAAAATAGTTTTGCTCTATTATTTCATTAAACCGTTGAAAATTGTAGAAAAATCCCCTAAATTTGTTCATACAAAAGTAGTCTCTAAACATTGGAAATAAGGTCAATAATGTAGTTAGTGGAGAGTGGTCACCGGTGACCGCTTGGGGATTGCAGTATTTTATGACATGCTATTCAATTTAATGACACACAATGTATTAACTAAATATTACAAGTTACTCATATAAATATACTGAGCGTAGCTCTACTAGTTTATAGTCGAGTCATGCTTTGCTCAGTATTTTTACGTAACTCGTAATTTTTAGTTAATTAAGCATGTATTAGGATAGTGTTTTTGTCACACAGTACGTCTGTATCACATTTAAGATTGCAATTTTTTTTTACTTATTGTACAACTTCGAAATTAAACCAACCATCTGATAAAATAATATTTGTCAACAATACTCGCTAATTTCATAAATAATAATCAATAATTTTTAAATTTGTCCAGATTTCCAGCAGTAGTAAAGAATGTGGTGTCAAAGAACATAGAGGTGAAGAAGCTGGTGTATGTGTACCTGGTGAGGTATGCTGAGGAGCAACAGGACCTAGCTCTACTGTCCATCAGCACCTTCCAGAGAGCTCTGAAGGTAATCAGCATCCTGCTAGTAAATTGTGGTTAATTAAACTGGTGAAAAATGCAATGGGGACTACCATTTTTTTACCAAGCAGATGGTGCAGTGGTTGGAAGAGATTTTTTGACCAATCACAGCAGCTGTCAAATATTAAACGTCCAGTGGTATGACACTAGCTCATTTCCTATTGGACGAATCACGAGAGGTTCACACTATTGCCATCAGAGTACCAAGCACGAATAACTCGTAATAGTACTCGTTATAGTAATAAATAGTACTCGATACTATTATGTTAGGTACGATTGCGATAGTTATTCGTGCTTAGTACTCCGGTGAGCAAGAATATGGTAGGACCCATTACTAGGCAAAGGGTTTTGGACTTTGTTCCAAGTCACACAGAGTAGTTTAAAGGTTGTTTCAGTTTTTGTTAACTTCTGAACATAACTGGTGAGAATAATAATCAATTTGAATTTACATAGCTATAGAATTTAATGGAAGATACCTTCCTAGACTTGCACTGGAAACTTCAGTACTATTTGCATGGTTGGCACGGTGGTTGGGCTACTGGCTGCCGCGCAACAAGTCACGGGTTTCATTCCCGCATGGAACAACTCTTTGTGTGATCCACAAATTGTTGTTCCGGGTATCGGTGTCATGTGAACTTGTAGATTTGTAAACGCACCAATGACACAGGAGAAAATCCTAGTGTGGGGCAACATTTAAAAAAAATTACAATATTTTTATGTCATAATTCACATAAAGGTTATACTTTTAGGACCCAAACCAGTTGATCCGTGCCAGTGCTCTCCGAGTGCTCTCATCAATCCGCGTGCCAATGATAGTGCCTATAGTGATGCTGGCCATCAGAGACTCTGCCAGCGACATGTCGCCTTATGTTAGGAAAACTGCTGCTCATGCTATACCCAAATTGTATAGGTAAGTAATTTCAAGTGCCCTAAATTATAATTGGTTAGCTGGTAACAGCTATATGGAGGTAGTGTAAACATGCCAGGTATGAAATCTTACGTTGGCACCACATAGCCATTGAGAAAACAGAACCAATGAAAAGGGCTTTAAAAATATTTCAATCATCAACAGCCTACAAGTGCCCATTGCTGACCAAAGGCCTCTTCTCACACGAAGTAGGTTTGAGCATTATTCACCATGCTTGCTCATTACGGGTTGGCGATTTCAAACTTATAATTAGAAATTATAAGCCCAGGTTTCCTCACGATGTGTTCCTTCACCGTTTGTCAGTGGTGTCTAGATAATCTTAAAAAGTACATATAACTCGGAAAAAGTCATATTGGTACTTGCCCGTTAGTAGGTTTCGAACTCGCACTCTCATGCATGAGAAGCGGGTGGCTTAAACATCCGGGCCACCACGACGTATATTTAAAAATATTTAATGCTGTGAATGTAACTAATAAGGAATCAAACTTTCCATATATATAAGTGCACCGGTAACTCAAGCTTTGCTTTAACTTAAAAAGGCAAAACCGTAAACTGCTAATATTTTAAAATAATTTGCCGGCCTCGTTGCTATTGCCTCACAAGTGCCAGCGCAAAGTATTACTAGGTTTTAAAAAAAATCTCAGTTGTAGCATGAAGTCTGGAATTGCCGGTATATGGCAATAAGCTCACCCCCTATTACATGGGACTCATAACATGAAAGTGACAAGTGAGTGTTACATTGTACAGCATTAAGTGCCGAAATGTGCACCTCTGCCTACCCCTTCGGGGATTAAAGGCCAGAAAGTAAGAAGATTAGTAGATAATAATTTTTTCTTTATTTTTTTCCATACAGCTTGGATCCTGAACAAAAAGAAGAGTTGGTTTCAATAATAGACAAGTTACTATCAGATAAAGCGCCTCTCGTGGTCGGCTCGGCGGCCATGGCGTTCTCAGAAGTGTGTGGGGAACGTATGAGTCTCATACATAGGAGTTACAGGTAAATAAATTATTAGATTTTTTTATGGCATAAGCCGGTAAACCAGCAGACGGATCACCTGATGGTAAGCAATCGACGTCGCCCATCAACACCTGGAATACCAGAGGCGTTACAAGTGCATTACCAGCCTTTTGGGGATTAGGAGTTTGAGGATCGTTGGGGATTCAGGAATTGGGGAGATTGGGGAAAGGGAAAGTAATTGGGCCTCTGGTAACCTCACTCACACGACGTAACACAACGCAAGCGTTGCTTCATGTCGATTTTCAGTGAGGGATGATGACAGGGTATGAAAATTAAAAATCTAATTAGTTCGTAAGTTAGGTAATGAAAAAATATTAGACACGTATTTTTTATTTTGTCGTATAATAACACAATACTTAGATAAAACGAATCAAAGTTTAGGAGTGGGGGTTTAAACGTCATATCTACGTATAAAATGTACATAGAAGTGACGTCACGCGACATTTCAAATCAATATATCGTCGAAATTATTTGTTTCTGTAAGAAAATAAAAAATACGTGTCTAATGATTTAAAATAATCTACCAGACGGACATTAAAGTAAAAATTAGGCATCTACCCTATTAATTGCGTTTTTTTTATTTGGAAATGTTCTTATAAAGTCAAAGTCAAAGCATTTATTTCAATTAAACCATAGTTTTGTACTTTTGAAACGTCAAAAAATACAAAATAAATCTCTGTCTGTCAGTCAGTCCGTCAGTGAAACTAGGTGAAGCTAGGTATACATATAAGATACATATATATACATATAAGAGTCAAATTATGGGCCAAAAATAGCACCAGCATTAGCTATTCTTCATAAACATTTATGTTCACACCAGTAGTCGACTTTTTTACATAAAATATAAGGTTGTTTTTTGTGAAAACAGGAAACTCTGCTCCTTATTAGCTGATGTCGACGAATGGGGGCAGTTGACCTTGCTGAACGTGCTTACTGTATATGCCAAGACATGCTTCGCGGACCCTAACAGTGAGGTAAGTAAAGTTCATCATTCATATTATTAAATTAAATAAAACGACTTGTGCTGCTTGCGATACGAATAGAAAAGGAACGATTTATTTCAAAAAAGGAACGAATTTAAACAAATGAATGAACAATGAACATAATCAATATAGTACACTCACAAAAAAGTAAAACAGAAGAAAGTTATATCAGTTACTCACTAGATGGCATAGGTGGTTTCATTTGATGTATATTATAAACAACACATATGTGCATATAGTATGTTTAATCTTCTAATAACATTGGAATAAGCAAATAGTTTTACTTTTTAATTTCTTATTGACATTAAAAAGTACCTTCCTAATCTAAATGAAATAAATTATTTTGACTTTGACTATAATTTTGTCTCTTCGTCTTTACGAGATTTAAAGAATTGCTCTCAAAGATAATTGAAGGATGATTTCATCAAGTCTTGTCGTCTTTTGTTATACATATTCAGTAGTTCAAGAAAATCGTCAGTTTTTATATTTCACTTTTCAGCTAGATAAGCGAAATAAACTATTTTTCTGTCTTATTCGACAACAATTCGCCATACTTATCTCTTAACACATTGGCTTGCCGTGTCGGACAATGATGTTCGACGCTAGCGGAGGATTAGCCTTTAACAGTTTTTGTCGGCAGTAAAAGGCTTACCAAAAGTTCTCCGTTTTCAACAAGAGATTCAAGTTAACCTCAGCTGTTGAAATGAACAACCACTTTTTCTCAAATAGGGTAGTTTCCTAAATTTTATTTTAATGTCCGTCTGGTACATTAATTTGAAACTTTAGACACGTATTTTTTCTTTTCGCACAAAATTAAATACTTTCGACGATATATTAATTTGAAATATCGTGTGACGTTACAGTGTGCCACATTTTGTAGCACGTTATGACGTAACGACCTCCTACTCCTAAACTTAGCGCCATTTTATCTAAGTATTGCAACTTAATACGAGAAAATAAAAAATTACGTGTCTAATATTTTTAATTATGTAACTGACGGACTAATTCGATTTTTAATTTTGATACCCTGGAATACGTCCTGCAGAAGTTCTCGAGCGACAGCGACACGGACAAGCCGTTCTACGAGTCGGACAGTTCGTGCGCGGGGCGGGGCTCCCCGGCCAGCCTGGACGCCGACCACCGCCTGCTGCTGCGCGCCGCCAAGCCGCTGCTGCAGAGCAGGAACGCGGGCGTCGTGCTCGCCGTCGCGCAGCTCTTCTACCACTGCGGACCGGGTACGAGACGCTACGAAGGCTAATTATAAACCCTCGTATCTTAATATCGGGCTTAAATCACCCGTTTTCGCTCCTGTGCCTTTAGCCAAACGCCACTTTAGCGCTTGTCTACAGTGAGAGTAGAAAACTAAATGTATGGGGATGACGCTGACAAGTGTCAAAATTTACGTCAATTCCATATAATTTGGTTTTCTATTCTACATGACATGTAGACAAGCGGTAAATGGCATTTGGCTACAGCTGCTACATTTTTATTAGTTGTTTAACTTCACAATTGAATGAACAAGATCATATTCTGCACTAGCGCCATCTAGTAAGCGCAAAATTACTTTAATTTTAATGACCTCGTGCTAGTTTTTTAAACTTTTTTTCAACGATATAATCTAATCAACTATGGTCGTCGTCTAAGGTTCTGACATTGAAATTGAATCTATTATGTGTGGAAAAGCTATTCTTTGGCATGAATGGGCCGGCTCGACTGAAGTGATACCACGGCCGAGCAGAAAACCGACGTGAAACAACGCTTGCGTTGTGTTTCGTCTGTGAGTAAGGTTACCGGAAGCCCAATTACCTCGTCCTCTTTCCCAATCTCTGAATCCCCAACAATCCTCAAATTCCTAATCCCAAAAGGCCAGTAACGACTTGTAATTTTGCTTACTGTCGCATAAAAAAAATATTAGGAGCCAATTAAATTGTTAAACATGTCTTATATACCACACTTGTATTTGAAATCATAGAATACGAAGTTTGAAGAAAAAAGGACAAAATTCTTATAAAAATGCTTACTGACTTAATATGTACTTCTAGCTCAAGAGTTGCCACCCGTCGCCAAGGCCATGGTTCGACTTCTGCGCGCGCCACTGGAAGTACAGAGTGTCGTACTCAACTCTATAGCTGCACTTACTGTTACTAGAAGGGTAAGTTTATAAACAAAAATAAACCTTATGTGCTATGATATAATATAAAGGTTTTTAAAATCGATTACAATAAGGATGATGACAGGGTATAAAATTTAAAAATCTAATTAGTCCATCAGTTAGGTAATGAAAAAATATTAGACACGTATATTTTTATTTTGATGTATAATAAAATGATACTTAGATAAAACGAATCAAAGTTTAGGAGTGGGGGCTAAAACGTCATTTCTACATATAAAATGTACACAAAGCACCGCTAATTAGTTGCAGCGCTACACATCGACACAACTGTCATTTACACAGTGTACATGTGTGCGTAATTTCATATAACTGTATATAAAAATATTCGTCCACCACGTTCACATTGGTATTTTCATTCTTGTGTCGGTATACGTATTTTTATAATTTAACGCATAGGTAAGGTTAAAACTATTTACAATCATTGATATGACCCGACATTTTCACTGTCATTATCGTAGTGCTCGTGGTCGATTGGTTAATGAGCACGCTTTTATCGTCTTTCAAGGATCAATGATGTGGGTTCTATTCCAGCTAAAAGTTAATTTTATTTTACCTTGTTATTTTTCTTATTTTTTTTTTGTTTTTTGTCATAAAATATAAATATCAGGCTATAAAAGAAGCAAATGAGTTGGTAAATAAAACAATACTATTTTTTATTACAATTAATTTATTTATTATACAAATATGTTGTTTTATATTCAATATTTATATCTAATAATTAATTATATACCACATGTTAAGTTTAAAGTTCTTTAAATCATAATTAATAGATATGACAATAAACCTCATAGTCGAATCGGGAAATATCATGCGGTACAGCGGTAATACGATGGCAGCAACATTTTTTATTAAGTAGGTAATAAACAAATATACAACATTCTTGTTTTGTAATTTAATAATATAATGTATTATTAAATTACAGTTTTACAGTAATAAACAAGTAAAACATGTAAAAAATTACACTGTCAACATAATATTTCTTGAAATGGGCGACGTTTTGTCGTTTGAACTTCCATTAATTATCTATTTTACGACGGTTGTTATAAGGTTCAATATTCAGTGGGCTGTATGATAGTAAAAAGAATGTGACGAATGCTATGGAACGATTTTAACATTCATGACCTTTAGAATCAGGGAAACTTTAAATTAATTGAAGATGGGCGTAAATATAATATGTCAATCAAGTTCGAAAGCAGTTAAATAAATTTGTTAATGAAAAATTAAAGTGAAGTGAATAAACATGTTGAATAGAAAGAAATTATGACAATTTCTAACCACAAAACAATAACATCACTTCACCGTATGTTCTAGACAGCATTTTAATATTCTTAAAAAAATTAAACATTATTTTATGTTAATTTTAATAAAGGCAGAGTTTGACAGGCTCAATAATTGATTCCGAAATCAATACAATCACTGATCCTACAAGGCAGAAGGTTGCAATTCGTATACCTTTCTCCATCTTTTCTTCACAATATTTTACGCCCATCCTTATCCGACTTGAAAGTCTTTTCGTCGCTCAATATGATTACACTGTTCGCCCAATCAAAATTAATAAAGTCCTTAGCAAATTCTTAGCGCTTTTGCTGGTGAACCACAGATAACAATATTTTCTTCTCTGGCTTCCTGCACCTTAAACCAGAATGCAGGTGTCTCCGTACAGTTTGTATTAAAACATTCAGTGCTGTCGCTGTAGTGCGGGTTGGCAGGAACGGATCAGCCATGTGCCTGGCTACGATGTCGTAGTGCCGAGCCGATGAATTTGCCTTTGGTTTAGGCCCACGTCGACGATGTTTAACGTCACCGGTCTCCGCATATCTGTGCACCATAACTGCATGGATCTCCTCTGTTGATACCAAACAAATAAGTATTTAAAATACCAGGAAATACTTTACAGGAATTAAAGTTACTTAAAAATAATAAATATAAGTAAACACAATGTTAGAATAATAATTTATAATTAAGTAGTGGCGTAAGGAATAAAAATCCCTAACCAGATATGTTTTAAAGAAACACTCCTAACAAAAACAAGTCAAGTTACAATACAATTAATAATAAATTATTAATATATCTTTATAATATTGAACTTCATAATAAGTTGCAATAATTATTTTATTCTAGTGCAAAAATTGATAGGTGTGTCGAGTTACAAAATGAAATAAATATTATTTAGAATATCAACGTAGTATCTTATTTACTCACCGATATCATTAAACGCCTTGCTATTTCAGTTATTGTTAGTTATGTTTTGCTCATGCAAAACAATGGTTTCAGCCTTTTTAAATGTTGATAGGTGTTGGAACATCTTGTAAAAATAAAAATAACTTTGCACACGAATATAAGTAGTGTAGCAATAAACTATGAAATCCTCATAAATTGACAACTAAGAACGCAATTATTTTGTAAGTCGGGTGATTTGAAAAACATGTTTTAAATAGTCGGTAGTTACTTCATAAGCGTGTAAAATAAAATGACTCGAGATTTCTATGGTCGCCACAAACATTGCAAATATACTCAGGTATCGAACCATTAAGAAATCACAGTTAATTACTTTTTTACTGTTTTTATCTTATTTAAGTTGGTTGAAATGCATGAAGCAAATGAGATTATTCTAAATAATAAATAACTAGAACTAAAATATAAATAAAAGATATTATAGGTATAAATAAATCTAAAGTATTTACTATTAAAATTAACATAAGATTTAGAACAATAGGAAAGGAAAAAAAAAGAAAAGATTTAATTGTTTCTAATTTCAAATTTCAAATATTTGATAAATTAATTCTAAAACAACATGTGAATGTTGGAATCGATCCGGCGGCACTTTACTTGACAATTGGAGGCGATAACCATTGCGCCAAGCGCGCTGTAGATGAGATCATCGAAATATTTTATATCATTCAGTAACATAAAATTACAATGAGAAAGCACTATATTTATATGGGTATTGTATAGCTCGATCGTTCATTATTTTTGATTTCGATTTATTCAAAGTTTGTTATGAGTAATTTTATCTTTACCCTCGTTTTTATTTAAACTTATTTACTAAATTATTGCGTATACCGACACAAAAATGATTTTTAAATACCAAGATGTGTGTGATAGACGAATGTTTCTATACATATCTATTGATATGAAATTACCCACACATGTATATTGTGTAAATGATAGTTGTGTCGATGTGTAGCGCCGCTAACTAATTAGCGGTGCTTTGTGTACATAGAAGTGACGTCACGCGACATTTGAAATCAATATATCGTCGAAAGACTGCCTCGTTGGCCGAGTGGTCGCAAGTGCGACTGCCGGGCAAGGGGTCTCGGGTTCGATTCCCGGGTCGGGCAAAGTAATACTGCGTTTAAAAAAAAATCGCAGTAGTAGCACGGAGTCTGGAATGATGGAAGCCCGGTATATGGCAATAGGCTCACCGCCTATTAAACGGGACTCATAACATAAATAGTGAAAAGTGGGTGTTACATTGTACAGTGGCATAATGTGCACCTCTGCCTACCCCTTCGGGGATAAAAGGCGTGATGTTATGTCATGTCATCGTAAATAAAAATTAGTCATCTACCCCATTTTAAACGTAACAATTTCTTACACAGGCACTCTTCGAACCATTCTTAAAATCATTCTTCGTGCGCAACTCGGACCCGACTCACATCAAACTACTAAAATTGGAGATTCTAACCAATCTAGCTACGGAAGCAAGTGCTGGGGTGATACTACGGGAATTCCAAACGTACGTCACTTGTAGTGATAAAACCTTCGCCGGGGCGACTATACAGGCTATAGGAAGACTTGCCGTGGCCATACATTCAGAAACTGAAACCTGTTTGAATGGATTACTTCATTTGCTATCGAGTAAAGATGGTGAGTATTCGTGAATTTTGTTCTAAGTTATTGTAATTGCGGTTTTTGAGTAATTGTAATGTTGTACCTGCTATTTCTAGAGCTTCATGACTAGTTTTTGTAAGCCGGTAAACGAGCAGGCGGATCACCTGATGGTAAGCAAGCAATCGGCGCTGCACATGGACATCTGGAACACCAGAGGGGTCACAAGTGCGTCACCGACCTTTCGGGGATTGTTGGGGGATTTGGGGATTCAGGAGGGGGTAATTGGGCCTCCGATGACTTCACTCACACAAAGAAACATTACGCAATTACTGTTGTTTGTTTACTTGTATTGAAATTAATGTTTATAATGAATGTTTAGGGCACTTTAATAATATATTATTAGTTTATTTCGAGTTGTGTGGTTTGAGTCTAGCTGTAAGCTGCTGTAGCTGTAAAAATGTCGTGGTGGCCCGGAGGTTTAAGACGCCCACTTCTCATGCATGAGGGTGCGGGTTCGAAACCTACCATCGGCAAGTACCAATGTGACTTTTTCCGAGTTATATGTACTTTCTAAGATTATTTAGACACCACTGACAAACGGTGAAGGAAAAACATCGTGAGGAAACCTGGACTTATAATTTCTAATTATAAGTTTGAAATCGCCAACCCGCATTGAGCCAGCGTGGTGATTAATGCTCTAACCTTCTCCGTGTGAGAAGAGGCTTTGCTCAGCAGTGGGCATTTATAGGCTGTTGATGATTCAGTGTTCAGTTCGCAATAAATAAGTATCATTGTCCAGAATGGGTGGTATGCGAGGCAGTGGTGGTAGTGAAGCGAGTAGTGGGTGGCGGGGCGACGTCCGCGCGGGCCGCCGTGGCGCGGGCCGCTAAACTACTGCGCTCCGACAGGTTAGTTGTTTTGCTTATTACCTTATTTTGTCATTACATAGTAGCGTTGTACTGCCTCGTTGGCTAAATGGTCGCAAGTGTGACTGCCGGGTAAGAGGTCTTGGGTTCGATTCCCGGGTCGGGTAAAGTATTACTGGGTTTTTTTATAAATTCTCAGTAGTAGCACGGAGTCTGGAATTGTGTCCGGTATATGGCACACCCTATTACATGGGACTCATAACATAAATAGTGAAAAGTGGGTGTTACATTGTGCAGTGGCATAATGTACACAAAGCACCGCTAATTAGTTAGCGGCGCTACACATCGACACAACTATCATTTACACAATATACATGTGTGGGTAATTTCATATCAATAGATATGTATAGAAACATTCGTCTATCACACACATCTTGGTATTTAAAAATCATTTTTGTGTCGGTATACGCAATAATTTAGTAAATAAGTTTAAATAAAAACGAGGGTAAAGATAAAATTACTCATAACAAACTTTGAATAAATCGAAATCAAAAATAATGAACGATCGAGCTATACAATACCCATATAAATATAGTGCTTTCTCATTGTAATTTTATGTTACTGAATGATATAAAATATTTCGATGATCTCATCTACAGCGCGCTTGGCGCAATGGTTATCGCCTCCAATTGTCAAGTAAAGTGCCGCCGGATCGATTCCAACATTCACATGTTGTTTTAGAATTAATTTATCAAATATTTGAAATTTGAAATTAGAAACAATTAAATCTTTTTTTTTTCCTTTCCTATTGTTCTAAATCTTATGTTAATTTTAATAGTAAATACTTTAGATTTATTTATACCTTTAATATCTTTTATTTATATTTTAGTTCTAGTTATTTATTATTTAGAATAATCTCATTTGCTTCATGCATTTCAACCAACTTAAATAAGATAAAAACAGTAAAAAAGTAATTAACTGTGATTTCTTAATGGTTCGATACCTGAGTATATTTGCAATGTTTGTGGCGACCATAGAAATCTCGAGTCATTTTATTTTACACGCTTATGAAGTAACTACCGACTATTTAAAACATGTTTTTCAAATCACCCGACTTACAAAATAATTGCGTTCTTAGTTGTCAATTTATGAGGATTTCATAGTTTATTGCTACACTACTTATATTCGTGTGCAAAGTTATTTTTATTTTTACAAGATGTTCCAACACCTATCAACATTTAAAAAGGCTGAAACCATTGTTTTGCATGAGCAAAACATAACTAACAATAACTGAAATAGCAAGGCGTTTAATGATATCGGTGAGTAAATAAGATACTACGTTGATATTCTAAATAATATTTATTTCATTTTGTAACTCGACACACCTATAAATTTTTGCACTAGAATAAAATAATTATTGCAACTTATTATGAAGTTCAATATTATAAAGATATATTAATAATTTATTATTAATTGTATTGTAACTTGACTTGTTTTTGTTAGGAGTGTTTCTTTAAACATACCTGGTTAGGGATTTTTATTCCTTACGCCACTACTTAATTATAAATTATTATTCTAACATTGTGTTTACTTATATTTATTATTTTTTTAAGTAACTTTAATTCCTGTAAAGTATTTCCTGGTATTTTAAATACTTATTTGTTTGGTATCAACAGAGGAGATCCATGCAGTTATGGGTGCACAGATATGCGGAGACCGGTGACGTTAAACATCGTCGACGTGGGCCTAAACCAAAGGCAAATTCATCGGCTCGGCACTACGACATCGTAGCCAGGCACATGGCTGATCCGTTCCTGCCAACCCGCACTACAGCGACAGCACTGAATGTTTTAATACAAACTGTACGGAGACACCTGCATTCTGGTTTAAGGTGCAGGAAGCCAGAGAAGAAAATATTGTTATCTGTGGTTCACCAGCAAAAGCGCTAAGAATTTGCTAAGGACTTTATTAATTTTGATTGGGCGAACAGTGTAATCATATTGAGCGACGAAAAGACTTTCAAGTCGGATAAGGATGGGCGTAAAATATTGTGAAGAAAAGATGGAGAAAGGTATACGAATTGCAACCTTCTGCCTTGTAGGATCAGTGATTGTATTGATTTCGGAATCAATTATTGAGCCTGTCAAACTCTGCCTTTATTAAAATTAACATAAAATAATGTTTAATTTTTTTAAGAATATTAAAATGCTGTCTAGAACATACGGTGAAGTGATGTTATTGTTTTGTGGTTAGAAATTATCATAATTTCTTTCTATTCAACATGTTTATTCACTTCACTTTAATTTTTCATTAACAAATTTATTTAACTGCTTTCGAACTTGATTGACATATTATATTTACGCCCATCTTCAATTAATTTAAAGTTTCCCTGATTCTAAAGGTCATGAAAGTTAAAATCGTTCCATAGCATTCGTCACATTCTTTTTACTATCATACAGCCCACTGAATATTGAACCTTATAACAACCGTCGTAAAATAGATAATTAATGGAAGTTCAAACGACAAAAAGTCGCCCATTTCAAGAAATATTATGTTGACAGTGTAATTTTTTACATGTTTTACTTGTTTATTACTGTAAAACTGTAATTTAATAATACATTATATTATTAAATTACAAAACAAGAATGTTGTATATTTGTTTATTACCTACTTAATAAAAAATGTTGCTGCCATCGTATTACCGCTGTACCGCATGATATTTCCCGATTCGACTATGAGGTTTATTGTCATATCTATTAATTATGATTTAAAGAACTTTAAACTTAACATGTGGTATATAATTAATTATTAGATATAAATATTGAATATAAAACAACATATTTGTATAATACATAAATTAATTGTAATAAAAAATAGTATTGTTTTATTTACCAACTCATTTGCTTCTTTTATAGCCTGATATTTATATTTTATGACAAAAAAAAAAAAAAAAAATAAGAAAAATAACAAGGTAAAATAAAATTAACTTTTAGCTGGAATAGAACCCACATCATTGATCCTTGAAAGACGATAAAAGCGTGCTCATTAACCAATCGACCACGAGCACTACGATAATGACAGTGAAAATGTCGGGTCATATCAATGATTGTAAATAGTTTTAACCTTACCTATGCATTAAATTATAAAAATACGTATACCGACACAAGAATGAAAATACCAATGTGAACGTGGTGGACGAATATTTTTATATACAGTTATATGAAATTACGCACACATGTACACTGTGTAAATGACAGTTGTGTCGATGTGTAGCGCTGCAACTAATTAGCGGTGCTTTGTGTACACCTCTGTCTATCCCTTCGGGGATAAAAGGTGTGATGTTATGTATGTATGTATAATAGCGTTGGACCCAATATTGAACCCTGTGGTACACCAGTATTTTACTGTATTTAAGCTAGGTTACCTTATCAATAAAATTGCGTTGGACATAAAGTTGAACCCTGTGGAACACCGATGTCAAGTCAACCGGGTAAAGTTTGTTTTCTATAGAAATACACTATTATACAGTAAAGAATTGTTGTTTTATCTGTGAATGTGAGTTTGTATTAATTACTTTATTCAATTTTGTATTCAATCACTTTACAATAACTCTATCGATAAGTGTTTTTATAATAACTATCGTGAGACATACTAAATTAAGTAAAATCGCGGGTTACTCACGGGAATATATTGAGAAAAGCTCTGTGGTTCGAAACTAGTAGAGCTTTTCTTAGTATATTCTCGTGAGTAACCCGCGATTTTACTTAATCTATCGAAAACTCTTTGAGTATTGTAAAATAAGTATAAGAAAAAGTGCAAAGAATTATTAACGTATCCCCCCGTAGACTGGGCGGCGCGGCGCGCGCGGCGGGCGTGTGGCTGGTGGCGGAGCACGGCGCCCGCCACGCGCGCGCCGCCGCCGTACTGGCGCACATGGCGCGGGCCTTCGCAGACCAGGTACCACACTACTCACATTATTCTTCCGTTTCACATCTATTTTTCTTTCAAAATTACTCTCTGGCTAAGGACTTACGGCGCGATTTGTTCCCGCGCCCTCCGCGACTGCGCGCGTTCATCCTTTGTAGAATACAGAATATACAGATATGTATGTAAAAAATCAAAGCAATTTTCACGGCGCATTTTACGCCCGCGGCGGTTCTGAACGTTTGCGGCTCCCGCCGCAAAGTCAAAGTCAGAGTCAAAATAATTTATTTCAATTAGACCAGGAAGGCACTTTTGAACGTCAAAAGAAAATATTTAAATATTTAATAATAAGAAAAATGTGAGTCTGTAGGTCAGTCCTCTAGTGAAGCTATTTGCTCATTCCAAAGTATAGATTCCTATGGAGAAAAACGAACTGCAGTCCGCGGTCCGAAGAGACTGACACCCACACGCTCTGCGACCGGTTGACGGGTGATCGCAATAGGGAACTGGTCTAGGACTCAACTGATTGTTTAACCGCCCACCCGTCTTGCAATAATCAATTGCCAAGTTCGCAACGGTAGTGAAACCGTAGAATACTGCGGGCTCCTGAGTTTTGAAAATTCCCCCTCCATTTCGGCACCGCGGCGGGCACGGGAAAAGATCACACCATGACTCCTTACCCTCTCCCTGCAACTTTTACAATAATTTCCTGATTATTTTAAACATTTTCCCCATTTATTTAATCCAATCTAATTGAATGTCTTTAAAAACCTATAAAACAGTCTTAAGATGTTCAACAATGAGCATCCATCCAAATTTTCGCTCACCAAAATTCAACGCAAAATAAACCTTATCTACATAACTACAAAACCCAATTTCCCTTACAGGACGAGCTAGTAAAGCTACAATTACTATCTCTGGCAGTAAAACTGTCAATAACCCAACCGGACACGTTGCCAATGTGTCGATACGTTGTCTCTCTCGCACGGTATGACGTCAGCTATGACGTCAGAGACCGCGCGCGAATGCTTCGTCGGTTCATTGAACCCCAGGCCGGCAAACAATTGAATAACTATGTCGCTGAAATATTCTTGCCTGAGAAACCGAAGCCTGATATCCAGAGCAGTTTTAAAGGTGAGTTTTTGTACTGTATTTTAAATATTTACAAAGTTTAGTTATTAGTGGCGCTAGTATAGCAACATTTTCGTAGTAAGTAGTAGACGTATTGGTTTTTGTTAGTTTTATTAACTGGCTACTAAACTTGACTGCAAATTGGTATCCTAAATCTTATGATAAAATGTTTTTTTTTCCTTTTAAACAGCTTTAACAGTATAATATTACATCGAGATTATTTTGCCCAAAAATAAAAGAAAATAAATAATTTATTGTACTCAATAAAGTACCTATATTAACAATTAATCTCAATCCAAAATCTTTGGAATAGGTAGTACGATACGACATCAAACACCAGGTGGAATTTATAACTGTATATTACGGTACCCCAGACCGCGGTACGTTCACGGTAGGCTCCCTGTCCCAGTACATAGGCACGGCGGCGGCCGGCTACAGGCCGCTGCATATGTTACTAACTGACACCGTGTATTATCCCCAGACCGCGGTACGTTCACGGTAGGCTCCCTGTCCCAGTACATAGGCACGGCGGCGGCCGGCTACAGGCCGCTGCATATGTTACTAACTGACACCGTGTATTATCCCCAGACCGCGGTACGTTCACGGTAGGCTCCCTGTCCCAGTACATAGGCACGGCGGCGGCCGGCTACAGGCCGCTGCATATGTTACTAACTGACACCGTGTATTATCCCCAGACCGCGGTACGTTCACGGTAGGCTCCCTGTCCCAGTACATAGGCACGGCGGCGGCCGGCTACAGGCCGCTGCATATGTTACTAACTGACACCGTGTATTATCCCCAGACCGCGGTACGTTCACGGTAGGCTCCCTGTCCCAGTACATAGGCACGGCGGCGGCCGGCTACAGGCCGCTGCATATGTTACTAACTGACACCGTGTATTATCCCCAGACCGCGGTACGTTCACGGTAGGCTCCCTGTCCCAGTACATAGGCACGGCGGCGGCCGGCTACAGGCCGCTGCATATGTTACTAACTGACACCGTGTATTATCCCCAGACCGCGGTACGTTCACGGTAGGCTCCCTGTCCCAGTACATAGGCACGGCGGCGGCCGGCTACAGGCCGCTGCATATGTTACTAACTGACACCGTGTATTATCCCCAGACCGCGGTACGTTCACGGTAGGCTCCCTGTCCCAGTACATAGGCACGGCGGCGGCCGGCTACAGGCCGCTGCATATGTTACTAACTGACACCGTGTATTATCCCCAGACCGCGGTACGTTCACGGTAGGCTCCCTGTCCCAGTACATAGGCACGGCGGCGGCGGCTACAGGCCGCTGCATATGTTACTAACTGACACCGTGTATTATCCCCAGACCGCGGTACGTTCACGGTAGGCTCCCTGTCCCAGTACATAGGCACGGCGGCGGCCGGCTACAGGCCGCTGCATATGTTACTAACTGACACCGTGTATTATCCCCAGACCGCGGTACGTTCACGGTAGGCTCCCTGTCCCAGTACATAGGCACGGCGGCGGCCGGCTACAGGCCGCTGCATATGTTACTAACTGACACCGTGTATTATCCCCAGACCGCGGTACGTTCACGGTAGGCTCCCTGTCCCAGTACATAGGCACGGCGGCGGCCGGCTACAGGCCGCTGCCGCCCGCGCCGCGCGCTACTGTCGCCGCTCAGCTGAGAGAACAGTCCACCGGGAACCTTGATACACATCCTGATAACCATGATGATACACAGGTAAGAAAACTATATTTAACAATATTATTATTACCTTTATACCCCGATATAAATGAAAAGAAAAGAAATCATGTATTTTGTTCACAAATCAAGAGATCTGCATTAAAATTGGCACCTGTTCAAGATTATCCTTTACTCAACAATAACAATATCTTATTTTCAAGAAATTATTCCTTTTCTACTGAGCCTCGAGCCATTTTTATTTACTTGCGGAATCCAAAGCAGTTGTTTATATTCCTACAACGTTCCGGACTTCATTGTTTCGGTATTACATAACATAACATCACGCCTTTTATCCCCGAAGGGGTAGGCAGAGGTGCACATTATGTCACTGTATAATGTAACACCCACTTTTCACTATTTATGTTATGAGTCCCATGTAATAGGGGGTGAGCCTATTGCCATATACCGGGCACAATTCCAGACTCCGTGCTACTACTGAGATTTTTTTAAAACCCAGTAATACTTTGCCCAACCCGGGAATCGAACCCGAAACCCCTTGCCTGGCAGTCGCACTTGCGACCACTCGGCCAACGAGGCAGTCAGTGTTTCGGTATTTTCCTGTGTATATTAGAAATTATGGTGCAGAATCATTGTAGCGTATTTGAGAAGTTAAAGCTTAAAAACGTTCTCTTCAAACATAAACAATGTTGACAGAAAAACAAGAGTTTCTACTCGGAGCCGGAGAGCAGTGGGTCAGGGTCTGGTTCCTCCTCCTCCAGCAGTAGCAGTTCCGAGGACTCTTCTGAAGAGTGAGTAACTTAGATATTTGTATCAGAAGATCATTACTTTAGCGGTAGATCTGTTTTAGCCACGAATTACTAGGGGTATAGTTATGCTTGTTCATAGTTATTTCTGTGCCTTTGAATTCAACAGAGAGTAATTATACTGTAGTTTTTTTTCCTTATTTTTTAATTAGTAAAGTTTTTAGACAATGAATGCATTTTGAGTAACTGTATTAATAATGTAAAGACGCATCGAACGAATAACCCGTTAATTCTATATTGTGTCTTTTTATACATTTTTTCTTCTTAGGGAAGAGAGCAATGCAGAAGAGAAGAAACAAGAGAAGCCAGCGAAAGAAACGAATAACTATAGGTGAGCTTAATTTATTTTACTTACCATATTTCTTTGTCTGATAAATGATGAAAGAAAGAAAGAAAATGCATTTATTTGGCCATTGACACACGAAAACAAGGATCATTACAATAGAAATAAAACAAATACAGTCAAATTAAAAACAAAACATTAATAATAGATTTTTTTTTTTATAAAAGAGAAAACAGCATGGGGCATTTTTTCTTATGATCCACCGGGTGCTCATAAGGACGCTCGAGGGGTTAAATAGCCACTTTTGAAATTACAAAATTGACCGTCTAGCTGATCGTCCGTCAGCAAAGATGATAATTGTAATGTAATTGCCAAAATGTAGATTTGCATTGAAAAGAACGAGCAAAAAATTCCAACCTACCTGTGATATCTTACTTATGTGTGAAACGAGATCAAAATCACTGACAAAGGCTTACTTCAAGGTCAAGGTCATCGAACTCGGGCACATCGGATAGTGAATCGGACAGCGATTCGGAAAGCGGATCGGACAGTGAATCTGACGGCTCGTCCGAATCGGCAGATAGCAGTGAGGATGAAACTCCTAAGAAAAACGAAGTTAGTCGCGACAAAAAGGTATGTGAAGTTGACATGTTGTTGTAGGTGGCGGAATTTAGACTTTATTTCTTTTTGTATAAGGTTTGTAATAGGAATGATAAAAACAATTCTGTTAGTGTGCTAGTGTTCTCAAGTTTGGCCTCTACAAATATACTGTTAAAATGTTTATTCTCAGTAATATACAGTCTAATATTTACCCAAAGTTGAACAATATTTCGCTTACTACAAAGAAAGTAATTAAATAACTAGCAAAATGTGGAGAAGTTTTCGTACATATCTGCTTACCTCTTTGGGAATTAGAGGCGTGATATAATCGTGTCTAAATTACCTAACATTTTGGGTCACTCGATAAAAAACCTAAAATAGATTTCAGGTACCATAATCCCTATTAAATAAAAAGGAGTATAATAACTAAAAATCACGGGTTACTCACGTGAATATACTGAGAAAAGCTCTACTACTTTCGAACCACAGAGGGGTTCTTTCTCTTGAGCAGCGTATGCGGTCGCGGCGATGTCGCGCAGCCTACCTAGTAACCCGCGATTTTTAGTTAATTTAGTATGTCTCACGATAGTCATTATAACAACAGGACTATAGTAGTTGTGTTTAGATATTATGGTCTAGTTTTGTGTAGTCTGGGTACATTTGTTATATATTATGGACTTGTTGTTTATTTTTGTTTATTTATGTTTATGTAGTTTATTTAATTATATTAATTTATTGTATAAATAAATTACTTTTCGTTGTATTATTTGGTTTTTATTTCTTACCTTTTTTGTGCTATATTTTTATTTATTTTGTTTTATATTTATCGTATATTTCTTTTTCTTAATTTAATGTTTTATGAGTTTCAAGTGTGTGTGTGTGTGTGTGTGTGTGTGTTTGGATACCTTGTGAATATAGAAATTATCTTGCTGCTTTGACTGAGTCATGACTTTGTTTCAAAGATTTTCAACCTTATTCTGTTGTAATTAGGTTTGAAAATCTGTCGAAAGGAGGTGTTTTTTTCCTACAACTTTGGCCCCGGCGTGTACTTCAAAAACAAAAGTGTCAAATTACGTGAAAAAAATCGTAGAACCTGAAAAATAATATATTGGAAATTATTTGCGCATTTGTACCACCTGCAATAGTCGATCGAAGATGTTAAAACTTGCAACCCAAGAATTTCAGTCTGGCAATGTCGTGATTTACTTCTTCGATAATGCGTTTCGTTACTTCATTTTATGAAAATTAAAATGTATTATTAAGGATTTTTTCTGTGTTACAGATAGTTTTTTTTTCTAGTTACATTTGTCGTGAATGATTATACTAAATTATTATAATAAATGTATTTTTAGAAACAAGTATTTCTAAAAATACATTTATTTCACAATTCATATTATTTTTTGCGTTTGGTTATCTACCGGTCAAAAAGACCGGGCACCAAAGCCAGAGCCGATACTATTTTTCTACTGTTGTCAATGTCATTCAATTCAAATCATTCCGTTTCGGTTAATCGACTCTGGAGTGCCCTTCCCAAATCCATGTTTAAGACAAAATATAATGTAACATATATTCCAAACTATGTAACATAATAATAACATAATATGTAAACAATATATTCACATCAAATCACTTTGACAGATAGAACAAATTGGCAGCTGTCAACGTTATCACGAACGTTTCTTTTTACGCAGTAACGTCGTGAGGCAGCTTTTTTTCGTATTCTTTTATTTCGTAATATATGTGATATTAAAGGCTTTTAAATACTGCAAAAAACACAAATTATTGGAAGGAATTTTATTAGTAATTTGTACCTAGGTACAGGTTTCAGCCAGAAAAAAAAACACCTCCTTTCAGCATAACTCATTTATAATAGATAGTGTTCAAACGTCGGCCCATTAGATTTAATCGTCATTACTATTATCTTAATATTTTAGCAAAACGCTCAACCCGCACCACCGAAAGAAGAACCGAAGAAAAACGAGAAATCAAACTTGGAACTATTGTTAGAGTTAGACGAGGTAGCGAGCTCGTTACCCACTATGACGCCCACTTGTGGGGGATTCTTGTCACCACCCAGCTTAGCACCACAGGGAAGTGGGGATGGTGAGTACAGTTACATTTAACTTTCATATTTACATAATTATGAATACGGTATTTTACATCTAATCAAATTCAATACTTTTATTGAAACGTCAAAAACGATATTGTTCTATGAATTTTGTACCAGAAACTAGCTCATGACGTCATCATATTTTCGAGTCAAATAGCACACTTATTTCTGAAAAAATTGCTAGAACAAATCGAAAAGATTACTAGTGTATCGTCAAATATATGAATGAGATTGTAATTATTTTTGAATATCTAATTGGATTGAAAAATCAATATAATTTATTTTTGACCCAGGAAAATACCTAATTAATGGTTTTAGTTCCGTGAGTAATACTGTTAAGCAAAGAGGGTCTAGACGTTAATACCAGACGTTATTTAATGCCGATAATACCAAAAAGTATCACTTCATACTCTTGTCTCTTCAAGTACAATATGTTATAGAAAAATATTTTTTTCGCATTTCGTTTCTAATTAACCGATCTGAAAGTCGTTAGGGAGTTTTGTGATGATTACTGTTGTGGAAAAACTTGCATTTTATTTCACATTCATTCATTTTGCTGGTATGGTTTAAACGACCTTGCTTTCCCCACGACTGATGTAACCCCCCGTACAGCGGACAGTATAACCCCGGTGGGTCCGTCGCTGACGCCGACCGCGGCGGTGGAGGTGGTGTCCCGCGTGGTGTGGGGCGGGGTGTCTGCGCGCGCGCGCTGGAGCCGCGCCCCGCACCTGTACTCGCACGCCATGTGCGCGCTCGACCTCGTCTTCACCAACCACAGCAACAACGAGGTCACTAATATCAGGATGCATAAGAAGGTATGCTCAATCAACTTGTTGGTTTTAACTATACACAAATAGGGTAATTTTCTAAATTTTATTTTAATGTCCGTCTGGTAGATAAATTTCAAACATTAGACACGTATTTTTCCTTTTCTCACAAAATTAAATACTTTCGACGATATATTAATTTGAAATGACGTCACAACGTGCTATGTTTTGTAACACGTTATGACGTAACAACCTCCTACTCCTAAACTTAACGACATTTTATCTAAGTATTGTTTTATTATACGACAAAATAAAAAATACGTGTCTAATATTTTTTCATTACCTAACTGACGGACTAATTAGATTTTTAATTTTCATACCCTGACAACTACCCTTATGTATGTTAAAATTGAGTGACGTTTGAATTTTTGAATAATTATGATACTGTAACATTAGTAACCTTCTCCCCCTACAGACGCTGACTGGTTCCCGCAACATCCACGACTTCTCCCCCATACAGATGCTGGTACCCAACGGCTCCGTCACCGTCATGCTCGGCGTAGACTTCGCAGACACTATACAACCCATCGAGTTTACTATCAACAGCTCAATAGGTATGTTACTATTTTATTATTACTTCTTGAGTCATAATCGAAGCTTTATATCTATACTAGCGACCCGCCCCGGCGTCGCACGGGTGCAATATGCATGTATCATACATATAAACCTTCCTTAACCCGTCGAGCGTCCGCGTTCCTTATGATCCAACGGGTGCACACGTGACATTTGGAGAAAGAAAGAAAGAAAATGCATTTATTTGGCCATTGGCACACGAAAACAAGAATCATTACAATAGAAATAAAAAATACAGTCAAAATAAAACAAAACATTAATAATAGATTTTATAAAAGAGAAAGCAGCATGGAGCATTTTTTCTTATGATCCACCGGGTGCTCATAAGGACGCTCGCGGGGTTAAGAATCACTATATATATTAAAAAAAACTGCATCAAAATCCGTTGCGTAGTTTTAAAGACGTAAGCCTACATAGGGACAGACAGACGGTAGATAGCGACTTTGTTTCATACTATGTAGTGATGTATGATAAAATGTGATATTTCCAAACCGATACGACCTGAATCTTCAAGAAAAGACTGTCTTACAAGCCGGCAACGTACTTATAACGTCTCTAGTTTTGCAGGTATCCATGGGCGAGACGGATCGTATACAACCAGAAGTTTTTTTAATTATTAAATAGCAGACCCGGCAAATGTCGTGGTGGCCCGGAGGTTTAAGACGCCCACTTCTCATACATGAGGGTGCGGGTTCGAAACCTACCAACGGCAAGTACCAATGTGACTTTTTCCGAGTTATATGTACTTTCTAAGATTATTTAGACACCACTGACAAACGGTGAAGGAAAACATCATGAGGAAACCTGAACTTATAATTTCTAATTATAAGTTTGAAATCGCCAACCCGCATTGAGCAAGCGTGGTGATTAATGCTCAAACCTTCTCCGTGTGAGAAGAGGCTTTGCTCAGCAGTGGGCATTTATAGGCTGTTGATTATTGATGATGAGACCCGGCAAACTTTGTACCGGCAAACATTTTTTTCTCACCTTTTAATCCTCCCCTGAACTTCTCACGATCATTTCAAGATCACAATCACCCAAATCGGTTCAGCCGTTTTCGAGTTTTAGCGAGACAAACGAACGGAAATTCATTTTTATTTACAAAGTTTAATTGATTGTTACAGGTGAAGTGCCAATATCAATTACTCCCCCGGTGGGGGAACTGATGCGAGCAGTGACTATGTCGCAGACGCGGTGGGACTCCGAACACAAGAAGCTTAGAGGGATGACTGAGGTATGTGTACATGCACTATAACAGGGCTGACCAAACAAAGGCCCGCGAGCCACATGCGACCCGCAGCTTGTTTTCATGTAGCCCGCGACACACATTTTAATCTCAACAACTTCATATTATATGCAACAACAATAATAAAATTCAGTGCATGATGTGTATACAAATTCTGTCTGTGAGTTAAGAATACAATGTTAAATGTCATTATACAACTGAAATCATTTTTCTGGCCCTCCAGCTTTTGTAAGAAATTTAATTAGCCCGCGAGGGATATAGTTTAGACAGCCCTGCTCTATAATATCATTATTGTCATCATTTTAATGTTAAAGGAAAATAAAACTACTATAAATTGTGTTGTCGCGAGCATTAAAATTCAAAATTAACTAAAAATCGCGAGTTACTCGCGTGAATATACTGAGAAAAGCTCTACTAGTTTCGAACCACAGAGGGGTTCTTCCTCATGAGCAGCGTGCGTGGACACGGCGATGTCGCGCAGCCTATCGGTTTTTAGTTTTTTTTTAGTTAATTTAGTATGTTTCACGATAGTTATTATTAAAATTCAATATCCTATCCTAGCCGTTCAAGTATTACGTAAGCACCATGGGGGGGGGGGTCTCTGTTTTGCTTATTTCGGATGATATGGGGGGTAGGGGAGTCTAGATGATGATTACGTCATCGGTAGTTATTTACTTTTTTACACGAAGGGCAACCCTCATATTGAAATTATAAATTAAAAGCAAAGACCGACAAAGAACGAGACATTATGGTATTCGGAGAATATTAAAATTACAATATAAAAAAGATATAATTTAAAATGTTTGCAAAGGGGGAGGGGGTAAGATCTTTGCTTACTTTTGCTGACAAGGGGCGTGGGGGGTAAATAATTGTAAAAAATCTGCTTACGTAATATTTGAACGGCCCCCTACTAATTGTTGAAAGTTGGTGAGGATGTATGTGAGTGTGTGTTTGTTATTCTTTAATGTCGAACGGCTGAAGGGATCGAAATGAAATTTGATACAGAGGTAGATTATAGTCTGAACTAACATATGTACCACTTTTTATCCCATGGGGACGCAGGCGATGCCGCTGGCAGAAACTAGTGATTTTATATGTAGACTCCTTTTCATTGCAGTGTGACAAGAAAGCGGTGAAAGTAGAAGACGAACAATTAATCTGTAAGCGAGTCTTCGAGACCGCCAACGTCGCTGCCATCACTTCCACTGGAGACTTCCTCAGGTAATATTATATTTACAAAAATTCTACTGACTTGAGCCAACTGTGGAAGACCCCAAGTACATGGTTAAGATTTTCATTCAAGTTAAGCGTGGCCGGTTAGGTTACTTTGATTGACTTTTGACTTAACACGTTGACTGTGCAGCTATGATGAGCGGGGCTACCCCCATAAGTGTAAATGCAAATTGTTGATAATATGCTGCTTGAGTTATACAACTGATAATAGGACATACCCCCTTCGTATAAATAATATTTTTATTTATTGACCCACCCGTGGGTCATACACGTATGATTTTGTAAATGTAAGCCCTATCCGTGTGACATGCACGTATAATCTCGTAAAGGCATGCCCCACCCGTGGGTCATGCACAGTGAACGTGTTTTGCCTCTTGCCCGCTACTTCGATCGCGTAGAATATGAATTTTAGAACATCACTTTTTTTTATTTAAATTTTCCAAAATAAAAGTAGATTATGTTACTTCTTAGTACATCAGCTTTCTGCCAATTAAAGTCTTGCAAAACCGGACCAGCCATTCCAGAGATTAGCCAGTACAAACAGACAGACAGACAAAACATGTTATTTCGGTATCAGTACAGATTCACAGTTAAAATTTATTATAAGCCTACTTTTACAAGTAAAGGCTCTAAAGGCAGCTTGTCTTTTAAAATGATATTGTTATTGAAATCTTCTCAACTGTATCCCACAGGTTCGCAGGTCGTATGATGTCCTCTCAAGACTTGGTCCTCCTGTCAGTGAGGAGTGAGGAGACTCACTCCAGGGTCACTGCCAACTGCTCCAACATGGCCATCGCATCGCTACTTGCCAATGAAGTCGCTCAAGCACTAGGAAGGACCTAAATAAATAGAGTTCTTTATATTGCTCATCGGAACAAACAAATATAAAAATAATATTGATAGATCATCGATTTATGGTAACTTTACCATTTTCGAGCGCGCCCGATTACTTTCGAGCTCAATTAGAGCCCAAGTGAACGTATATGTTAATGTCATAATGTTATCTTTATTTAGTAAAAGTATGTTCTATCTCGAATGTATGAAATGTTCGATAAAAGGATTTTTCTATGGCCTCATATATAAAAAAATTAGGAACTAGATCTATTATTGAGTCTAAAATTACTTGAAAAACAAATTTTAATAAACATATCCTAAGAATTTGAACTGAATCTTGCAGTGAATTTATGGGCACTGCCTCTTTGAGCCTTAAACTTAAACGAAAGATCTTATGTACGAATTCCAGCTTATAAATAAAGCCTAGATTACGGCAATCTCACCCCTATTACAAGGGACTTTTTAACCTGTAAAAAGTAAATACTACATTTAATATGTGCACAGTGCCTACTCCATTCGGGAACAAAGCTTGATATTTTAACTAAAATTGCGGGTTACTCAAGTGAATATACTGAGAAAAGCTCTACTAGTTTCGTCGTCGTCGCGACGTCGCGCAGCTAATGAGGAAGAACCCCTCTGTGGTTCGAAACTAGTAGACCTTTTCTCAGTATATTCACGTGAGTAACCAGCGATTTTAGTTATATTAGCTTGATATTTTGTTGAACAGAGATTCTTTATCATTATACTCACCCAAGACATAATAAAATACTTAATTTTACCACCTAATTAAAGTTTCAACAAGTACTTAGTTCATTCCATTTCTTATTTTTATTCTTTTCTAGTCATACGACTGCCGTTAGCTAAAGTCTATATTAAGAAATCTGACTTCAAAACAAATATATGAAAAAATATAGAATTTATAAAAAATAGTGATGCAATTATAGAGTCTATTTCTATAGAAATAAGGTAGATAATTGATTCCTTCCTGTCTGCTAAGTCTAAGTACTTATATATTAAATACTATGTTATAAATAAACTATACTGAAATAAATATCTTTGTACTTCTATAGGTTTTTTTAATTTAATTAATTTTATTTTACCTATTTATTATCCCTGTAGGTTCATTCGTTCATCATAATCAACAGCATATAAATGCCCACTGCTGAGCAAAGCCTCTTCTTACATAAGAGAAGGTTTGAGCATTAATCACCACGGTTGCTCAATGCGGGTTGGCGAATTCAAAGTTATAATTAGAAATTATAAGCCAGGTTTCCTCACGATGTTTTCCTTCACCGTTTGTCAGTGGTGTCTAGATAATCTTAGAAAGTACATATAACTCGGAAAAAGTCACATTGGTACTTGCCGTTGGTAGGTTTCGAACCCGCACCCTCATGCATGAGAAGCATCTTAAACCTCCGGGCCCTGTAGGTTAACAAGTTTGAATTCGATTTCCAGGTAGGACAAGGTAATAGGAAATTCCTTTCACTATTTTTTAACCTTTTGAACGCCAGTAGGTTATAGCGGACAAAAAAATATGACGTGATCTGTCAGTCGCATTTTGTCGTCCGCAGCCGACAAGAAAACATGATATTATGTACAGTCAAAGGTCAAAGGTGCCACCATGAGTGGTGTTCACACGGCAATGCGTTAGTAATTTCATATTAATGTGCATAAACACGCGTGCGTACGATTAAACACACGCCCGCGTACGCACACGGATACAAATATGCGTGTGCGTGTGAGTATAAGCGCTGCAGCGCAACCGATAGTAGTCTTACGGTGGCAGTGGACTTTTGACCTTTGACTGTACATTTAGTTTGTCAAAAGGTTAAAGTAGTTTTTGACTGTCAGTAGATAAGTAATGCAAATCTAACAAGGCCCATAATTGGGTACATCACAACTAGTCAAATTCAATACTTTTTTCGAACTGTCAAAAACGACGGTTTTCTATGAATTTTGTTTGCATGAGATTGTGTATGTAAAGTGACGTCACGTTTTTTTAGCGTGAAACAGAATACTTATTTCTAATTTTTAAGATGCTGGTAAAGTACTAAAATTAAGTTAGTCATAAAATCAATTAATGAAAGTGTGATTATTTTTCAATATTTTTGAAATACCTATATAAATAAAAAAACAAGGTTTTCGTATAAAACCAGTTTATAACTTAATATTATATTTTATATTATAGTATATACATTGACACACCTAATGCCAGAAGAACTAATTTGTGCGGTTAGAATTCTTACTCTTACAGCGCAATAAAGATTAAACGTACCATATTTGCATGATTTTACGGTACCTAATTACGCCGTGCTTAATTTGAGAGGTTAAAGTTCCACTAATCATTTGGAACAATATTTGTCTTATTTGTTCTAAAGTACCAGGAATTCATATAACATAGTAGGTGTTATAAAGTAGATAGAGAATATAATTGAATGAATGACCTTTTTTACTCTTGTTACGCTAGAATCGAAAGCCATATTTTGTACTTGGTGGGGAGAATGTTACAAAAATAAAAGCCAGTTTATATACAGAGCATGTATTTCTCTTACACACTAACAATATATTCGTTTGAGATTCCAATTCTCCTTACATCTACATTTTACAGTATTCAAGGTCATACTAGTCGAATTTTTACCAGCCAGCACCAGCTGTGTACTGTTAATAAACACTATTTTTCAGTTTGTTTCAGAAAATGTGTTTTTGATCTACGATCGAAAGAAACGGCGCCACCAGCGTTTCGTCATTTTATCGAGCATTCTATAACTTAAAAAAAAATATTCCACTAACATCAAAATTTTTAAATTTTGAACGTAACTAAATTGATTTTTATACGACATTCGGGACCTATTAATAAAATTTGGAAAGCTTTTACTTCGTTGCTACCATCCGTGCGTCACTGCAGGGGTGCCCACTGAAAATCAGGGTTGACTCGTATGCCTAGCTTACCCTGAGTGGGTAACACATTTAACATATGCATGTTGTTAGCGTCTTCACTGATTCTTCTCTTTTAATTTTTAACTCAATTTTTATTTTGCTTCCACTGTCACACTTTTATTGTCTTTTTTATATTTTATTTGTGCCTAGTGCTGAATAAATATTTATTCTTTCTTTTGAAAGAAATTAAAATTAAAAAAACGCTAGAGGTTCCGTTACTTTGCTCCCAAGTGTATCAGACGAGGTAACTTGACTGGTTTCAAGCCACACCAGGGGCTTATAGTAATGCATTACTATAATGCTTCATTACTAATGAAGCATTGCGCGATAACCGACAGAAGACTTATTATGCAGTATACACTCAGTGATACTCGTACATTGCACTGATCACTGATACTCGGGAAGAAATTCGACTAGTATTTATATGATGTCTTTTAAAAATAATCGTATAAATACAAATACGTAACTAGCTTATAAAAAACATAATAATCGAAGATAATAGAAATACGATTGCAGCATAATATACTAAATACTACGCGATATCTCTCCGGAATTGTGGCAAACGAAATATAAAAATTAAATAAATAGTTCGAACATAATATTATGAATACATGTCAAAAAATGTAAGAGGAAACTGATGATATAACATATTTTCTACACAACAATAATTTAGGGTCAGCTGCGCCTATAGCGGTTGAAACCATGCGTTAATACTTAATATAAAATATAAAAAATATGATTTATAACTACACAAAGAATGTGTCAGATCTTTTGACGATTTTTTCTTATTTACTGCACCACAAAATTCATAAGTCATCAGAAATCTATAAAATGTACATCAAACAAACCATAATCTCATTCAATAAACAGTTTTTTACAATAATTGTGCGTGATTATTGACCAATGACGTCATATTTTACGTCAACTTACATTTTTATTCGTCTTAAAATAACAAAAACTAATAAATAACCAATTTTATAATATAAAATGACACAAACAGTCACAAAATAGTTTATTTTCACTCAGGAACCATTATACCAATTGAGAATTTGAAAAATTATGTGCAATGTCATGCAATAAAAAAATAAATTACATTTTATAAAAAGGTTTTAATCAAAACCTAGCTGCTAACGAAAACGTGGTAATATCAAAAGACAACTCAATTTTATCAATATGTTTAAACTAAAAATCACGAGTTACTCACGTGAATGTACTGAGAAAAGCTCTACTAGTTTTGAACCACAGAGGGACTCTTCCTCATGAGCAGCGTGCGCGGTAGTAGCGAGAGATGTCGCGCAGCCTACTGACCTACTGAAACTAGTAATGCTTTTCTCAGTATATTTACGTGAACAACTTGTCATTTTTAGTTAATTCTCCATATCTCACTCTCATTATAAAAACATTATCAATCTCATTCAATTTCAGTAACGAAAATAGGAATATTTAATCCCGATGCGGGATTTGGCGTCCATTGGAGTTATACAGTTCTTATGACGCAATAACATGGAAGACTGTCCACTGGCACACTTTCAATGTTGAGGGTAATGACCCCAGCCGGGAGGCATACCCAAACTGTAAGTAGGAGTAGTCATTGGAATGATTCGAGGCCTCTTACTCATGTCCTCGTGATGTGGCTGGTGCATCTGTTGCTGCTGATGATGATGCTGCTGCGGCGGCGGCTGCGGAGGCTGGTGATTCTCCATTATCCTATCCTTCTTCGACATCCTCTTCTTAGGAGCCCCACATTCCGGTACAATACGACGCTCATTCCACAATCTTTCCACTAAAGCCGCGCGCGCTTGAATACCGTTAGCGTACTCGACTTGCTTTCTAGGTATGGGGCCGTTGGCTACCTTCTGCTTCATGGCCTCTAGTCGCTCTTCAGCTTGAGTCATAGGCACTGGGGGAATGCCACGCCGGTTGCATATGTTATGTAGAATGCAACACGCTACGATCATCATGGCGACAGTAGGAGGGTCAAATTGCTTGTTACAGTTAGCTTGAAGACATTTCCATCTACTTTTTAATTGTTTTATGGTGTCAGTGACCGCGCTATGTGCCTGTGTGTGCACGTTTGAGTAGTATTTCTCTGGTGATACGGGCGATTTCTTTGTTATTTTCGGTATAGGTGTCATTATGTATTGCTTCTGTGTATAGTATGGGCCCCCTGGAATTATTACAAGCAAAGTGAGACTTGGAGGATTTATTTACGCCACCAAAATTTAGAACCTAATTTGGATTGGAATTGCATGTAAAAAAGTTATAGGTACAATTGGCGTATATTAAAATCAGAGTTTGTAAATTGATAAAGTGTATCTTGGGGTAGAAGTAAGTCAAGAAGTTAATCTAGGATGTCTATTTTAAAATTTTAAATAAGGCTTAATTTATATTTATTATATACATAACATCACGTTTTTTATACCCAAAGGGTAGGCAAAGAGGTGCACATTTCGGCACTTAATGCCACTGTACAATGTAACACCCACTTTTCACTATTTATGTTATGAGTTCCATGTAATAGGGAGTGAGCTTATTGCCATATACCGGGCACAATTCCAGACTCCGTGCTACCACTGGAATTAAAAAAAAAACCAGTAGTACTTTACCTGACCCGGGAATCGAACCCGAGACCCCTTGCCCGGCAGTCGCACTAGCGACCACTCGGCCAACGAGGCAGTCCATGCACCACTTGAATGCACCGATGTGAGACAAAATGAAAATGCATTGTATCTCGCGTGGATTCGAGTTTAGACACGCTAAAGGTTATTTATATCTCACCAATAAGCCAGCATGGTTCCCCGGAGTTGTTCAACGACTCGAGGTCGACCCTGACAGCGTGTCTGTTGAGCACGTTGTCGTGGGAGTACGAGCCGCCCGCCGTCGCGTCCACGCTTATTATTGTTAGGTCACTATCACAGATCTGTGGAGAAAATTAACAATATTATGACGTATCTAATTTTGAATGAAAATATTGTTTTAATTTGGGACAAACATAATCTAAGTCTATGTTGATTTCATTAACTAAAAACCACGGTATACTCACGGGAATATACACGCGGCGAATCATTAGGCTGCGCGACATCGCCGCGACCGCGCACGCCGCTCATGAGAAAGAACCCCTCTGTGGTTCGAAACTAGTAGCTTTTCTCAGTATATTCACGTGAGTAACTCGCGATTTTTAGTTAATTTAGTATGTCTCACGATAGTTATTATAAAAAAACGTGATTTCCTATCTTTTTGGAAAAAGAGGCTGTTACATTATAAGTGTGGGAGAGCCATGCTTCGGCAAGAATGGGCCGGCTCGACCGGAGTGATACACGGCCTCACAGAAAACAGACGGAAATAACGCTTGCGTTGAACACGACGAAACATCGTCGTGTGAGTGAGTTTACCGGAGGCCCAATTACCCCCTTACCCAGTCTCCCCAATCCCCGAATCCCCCACAATCCTTAAATTCCTAATTTCCAAAAGGCCGGTAACGCACTTGTAAGTGTAACGCCTCTGGTGTTACTAGTGTTCATGGGCGACGCCAATTGCTTACCATCAGGTGATCCGCTTGCTAATTTACCGGCTTATCCCATAAAAAAAAATGTAGTCACTCTTGCAATTGAACTGTAATAAGTTGCAAAATTCTATACTAAATTCATAGAGAACTTATTAGGTCGGTGTAGATTTGACAGTTGTGGCTCATATTCCGATTTATTAACATGATGAATGTACTTCAAGCAGTTTTGCAACTACTTCTGGGAAGTTAAATATTGAAATGTTTATTTACTTACAACTTGCACCTTCTTGGAATGATAAGACTTGTTGAAGTGGCTCTTCTGGTCATCCTCAGGCCGCGCCATGGGCACATGTGTACACTCCACACTTCCTATCACATTTGGAATACCATATTTCATGTAAAACCTGAAATAATAAATAAAATATGTAATTAACATTCAACAACATGGCAATGTTGTCAGCCTTCTGGGTACTTTCCCTACTGACGTTGATGCGGAAGAATTTGTCGATGCTTTGTGTACCTAAATGGTTATTTTTAGTATTCCTTTATTTAATTTTTATCTTAAGTTGTATATATTTAGTAATAGTATTTATTTTATTTAAGTTTATATTATTTGTAAACAAAAAAATTTGGCTGTTTTTACTTTTCCTGGACTAATCTATTTATGGGGACTTCAACTATAGTTTTATTCTTTAATAAAATCTTGAACCAACATTTTCATATTTATTCTTGTGTTACGACACAATAACAAATATACATATATTTGACACAGACATTTCATTACTTATAAAAATAAATAAATAATAAAAAGGGTTTATTGTAAAAATTCGAGACAAAGTTTATGAATGAATACTAACATATAATACTAGACCGAGCCTGTACCTTAGATGTTAGTTACATTCTATTATTTTTTTTGTAATAATAATAATAAATAATTGTTATTCTGTGTTGAAACGGGATGTGTACGTGTAATTAGGTGATTGTAAACACACCTACAAAAGGAGAAAATTGAGGTGAAAGCTTTTAAATAAATAAAAGATAGTATACAAGTCATTAAGATTGTTGATTCGCTAACCTGGCTTTGATAATATCCCGCTCCTGTCTCAAATGTGGGAAGTGTATGTATTTCTTTACTATGGAGGGATGGTTCATGGCCTCAGTGACCTGTAACACTGCGGTCGCCACAAAGTACTGTGTTATGCTCGGGTCACTCTTACCCCCTATTGACTTTTGATATTTGCCCGTTGCATAGAACGCTAAAGCTGCCATTACCTGTAAATAAATATTCATATAGAATTAACCCTTTGAGTACCGTCATTATAGACACAATTAAAGAACAATAGGTGTGCAGACACCGATCTCCTCGCAGTGTTTGAGTTTAAACAGGATTTTGTCTATAATTTTTTATACGGAATGGGATGCAAATAGACTGACTGATCACCTTACGGTAAGCGATGAGAGCCGCCAATTAAACTGCGTGAAAACTTTGATATAGTAGCTATTCTTTGTAGATCTTCGCTGACTTAATATTATTGTGAAAATCAAATCATTATTTTTATTAACTTTTTTATAGAAATTCTCATACATCGACTCACCGCTTGATATTTGAGTGTATAGCTAACAACACATGTTTTGTAACCAGTTTAGTACAATACAAATAAAAAATACTGGTTAGAAAAATAATATTGTCTAAGAATTGCACTTAATTGTTGGTAATTTGAGGTGATTAACCGCTGCAAGGGGCAGCGACAGGACGGCTTATTGATATCTACTTTCTATGCACTATAGTCACATTGCACTTCTAACTTACTTTACTTTCAACTGAAAATTCAATGGATTTTGTAGAATCAGGCATCACTGGTTTTAATTCCTCACACAACGTTCGCGCCAAATCTTTAGATAATCTATAAGTTTCTATAAAAGAAGGTTCGTTTAAATCAAAAGGGTCACAATCCGCAGGTTTCGAAACTCTTTTCTCAGGACTCTTTGGTTTTTCAATAGGAATAGGCCGCGGTATCTGTTCCGGTTTCTGTGTATGTTGTGACGAATCCCATTTTAGTAACTCGAAAATCTCAGGTTCTTCGTCCACAACCGATATGTAACCTTCCTCTGGTGGTTTTTCAGCCATTTTTACTGTATATAAAGTTTATTTTGAAATAAAATAAACGCAGCTTGGATTTTTGTTTGTCAAGCTAATTTTGACGTTTATATCAAATGTTGTCTTTTCAACAAAAATAGATTCTACCATTTATGTTGCTTGGAGTTACAAGTATAAAAAATAAAACTACCTTTCTTACCAAGGACGTTGAGTTCTTACCCGCGAAAATTCAAATTCTACAAACTTTGTAAACTTCTATAAACTTACGATTTCAAAAAAAAGAAATGAAAAAGCACCTTATTTTATGTCATCCAGGGGGGCTAAAAAGGTAACATTGTATGTTTCATATCTGAATCATAATATGTGACATACGTCATGTCATAAAAAGACAACATTTTGATGATTCATAATATGAACTGAAAGTGTTTCATATTTGCAATTCATCTAATATGACACTTTTGAATGGAAATTCGTAAAATGGTTTGCAAAGAGTGAATTCCTATACGTCAAATAAGCAGATTTGTCAGATGTTACTCGAGGGCATCATTTTACAGTTCATCTAGTTTATATTTTTAATAAAGTAATGAAAAATGGGAGATTTAGGCCTTTCTGAAAACTTTTTGGAGCATATACGTGTTTTAGAAAGGTTTTCATATCGTCGGCGAAGTGAGACTCTTCAGGAAATGCAAGTTGTTTTTGAAATACCGGAGCCTGAATATGTTGGATTGTTTCGCGTAAATAATAGTGTGTGTCGCAAAATAATCCCAAGAGTTGGAAGCATATTTAGCCTCTCGACGTGGTGGAATAAGTACTGTGTGCAAGATAAGTAGCCACCAAACTATTCATTACTTAAAGTAGTTATACAACCAAGTTGTAATTAACCCTTAAGATTCTTTCAAGAAAATAATAGAGATGTATATCTCATGTATTTATTTCTGTTTAAGGTATTAAGTGCACTAATACTTAACGCTTCTGGATCGTATATTACTAATAGGCATGATTCAAGTTGTATCTTCATATACCTTGGGTGATTTCATTGTCAGTATGTCTTTTCAACAAGTTTTACACTGAAGTTATAAAATAAAACTATAAATTGTAATCCTGTACGTATAGTAAATATTAATGATTAAAATTGTGTTTCAGGATACGACTATACAGAGTGCAAGAACTAATACTAATTCTCTATTACGAAACGGACTTATAAATAAATAGATTTTGGTCAGGACGTATCTGACGATTTGAAAATTTTGTTGTTTTTATTTGCCTCAGTTTTTTATTTTTCTATAGCCATAGTACAACCTTTTGGAACATGAAGAGAGAGAGAGAGGAGAGATATTTCAACTGATAAAGATATCATTCACAGCAATAAAATAAAGTCACTAATTTTAAAACATTTATTTCATAATCACTAACTAAAAGTAACCGAGGGAAGTGCAAACTATTGTTTTTTTTCTCCTCGTATAATGTCTTCTGATAAATCAGAATCTGATTTCGTAGCGGGATCCAAGACAGTTAATTATGTCCCTGGGACGCGCCGGACTTCAGTGTTCTGGTGTCATCTACTGTAGATCCTGGCTTACAGGAGTCGCAGCGGTTTGGGAAGGATGTGGCAGGCTTGTCCAAAAAAAATCGGGTATCTAAAAATGAAACATGATGAATGAAATTAAATTTTTCTAAGTTGCGAATTTTACCTTACTTATCATATTAAAGCTACTATCATTGCCTGATTTATGGTAAGCTACAATAAAACAATACGTCATTGTTTCAGTTAACACAAATACATGCAAATGCACTTGTCCTGCTGTAGTGTATCTTGCGATGAACCAATACTTAAACATCGCCAGCGAGATTTAAGTACTTCGATACACCTTTCCACGGTATTCCGAGCCGACAATGTTTTTGGGCGTAGGGCCGTTGCACTGTATTTTAATGGATTTTCTAGTTTCTTGATAGATATGTGAAAATCTTATAATTAAAAAACATTCAGGATCGAAATTTTTAATTCAAGTTATAATAAAACACAAAATAAACAAAACCGGTAAAGTTACGGTTCGTTTTCTCTCTATATATTTCTTATGTAGCAACATCGGCATCTAATATGATTCAGATAAGAAATGAATTGAAGATGTTTCATATTTTATTGTTACCATTTTATGGTGATTTAGGTGATTCTCTAATAATTCATCAAATCTGTCATATTAGAAATGATTCATCCAATGTTACCTTTTTAGGTCCCCAGATATTGAATAATAATGGTTAGTTAACTTAACTAACTTATTTTTACTGCCTACACGGGTAGGTACCTAAAGCACTCATAAACCAAATCACTTAAACGATTCCAGAAATCTAGCACGTTTAAACACTTATCGGAGAAAGATGACGTCATAATATCTGGTGCCAGCTTGGCGAGACAGCAGACATCGTTATCCTTATTTTGTACATGTTACCGATCGTACCTACCCAATAACATTTTAATCCATAGCTCCCTATCTCGAACTTTACACTATTAAGCCCAAAATATCTATAAAGTAGTACCTAGTAAGGTATACTAAATGGTAAGGTACTTAGAATGAGTAATAAGGTCATAGTCAATTAAAAAAATAAACTTATAACTTATTTTATATCATACTAGCGGCCCGTCCCGGCTTCGCACGGGGGGACTTAAGATTTTTTACATAGTTTTACGTTTTATTTATATTTATTCTCAGTTTTTTTTTAGCGACCTGCCCTCCGTTGTCGATGTCGCGTCTTAAGGTAACCGATTGAACAATTCAAAAGTTATCTAGAGCAAACTTTTATAAGGATTGAACCATTCATTAAAACGATTGTTATGGGTAAACTATAAAAGGTAGACATATGCTCTCGCGGACTTTTTTAAAAATAATGTTAAGATAAACAATTCATCTATAGAACATTTTTGTATAACTTTAACTATATGCTCAGCGCACGCCACGGAAGGCCTCAGAAACGATACTTTTCCCCCGTTTTTAAAACATTTTTGGTTACTGCTCCACAACTATAGGACCTAGCGTGATATTATATAGCCTATGTTACTTCTGAATAATGCAGCTTTCGAATGGTGAAAAAATTATTGCAATCGGTTCAGTAGTTTTTGAGTTTATTCATTACAAACATACAAAAATACAAAAATACAAATCTTTCTTCTTTATAATATTAGTATAGATCACGTAACATAATTTTCAATAGTGTATTAAAATAACATGCGTTGATGTATTCAGTACCATCTTCATCATAAAGGCACTCGGAGCCCGTGCCCAAGAACCCCATCTTCAGGGGGGCCCCGTAAGACCGACAATTTCTACGATGGACACACACCCGCTACACGTTTCGCGGCAACCGGCTGCCCCACAACGTATAGGGGTTCGATTCCCACACGGAGCCAACCTTTTTGTGATCCACAGATTGTTGTTTCGGGTCTGGGTGTTATGTGTATTTGAACTTGTATGTTTGTAAAAGCATCCACAATGCAGGAGAAAAAAGAAAAAACATTCCAAAAGGGACCGAATTATTGTGCCGGATTATTGCGCCCAAGGGCCCCAGCGTAGTCTAAAACGGCGCTGGATGTAATTCATCGAAATGGTTAGAAAGGTAAGTACCGTATCTACGTCGACTACGTACCTACGTCCGGTACGTCCACGGCCACAATTTGTGCGGTTCTCACGTAGCTTCCTGCCTCGCACAGCAAAACTGTGGAAACTGTCGTCGGCGGTATTTCCGAACCGATACGACTTTCAAGGCCTTCTGTGACTCCTCTGGTGTTGCTGGGCGGCGCTGATCGCTTACCATCATATGATTCGTCCGCTCGTTCGCCTCCTATGAAACAAAAAAAAAAACGACCACTTCATGCCAGACGTCACACGCCCATGGGAGTAATTTAGTTTAAATGTGATATCCTATTTTACATATGGTTCGACCCATATTACTATTTAAATGAGGTCATGTCTTATAGTGGCAATATACAAATAATTCCACAATGGTACACATCACATACCCAGACTCAGACTTTAAACAACAATTTGTGGATCACATACTTACCCTATAATACATATAATATTCGACACACGCGGGAATCGAACCCATGTCACATAGTGCAATGTGCAGTTACCGGTTGCCCAACCATTGCGCCAACTGTGGAGTTTAGAATTCCTATTTTGATTTCTGTCAGAGCCACCATGTTGTTCTCAGTAGACCAATCACGGGACGTAACTGGCAAAAAAACACTTGAAAATATTTTCATACCAGTCCCTTTACGCTTGTCTATTGTAGTAGGCACCTAAGCATGAGCATGTCGCGGAGAACCTAACGGGTAACCGGGGCTCCGGCTCGACGTGCTGGAGAAGGAACGGGGTGGTTTTTAGTCAGTAAGAGTCTGACACTCCCTTCCGCCTCACCCAGGCGGGAGCAGTCATTCGATGATTTTCCCCCCTCAAAAAAAAAAGCATGAAAGAAAGAAAGAAAGAAGAAAGAAAATTTTTTTATTTGCACACTGACACAAGGAAATAAAATAAGAAACAATACAAAGAAATGAGCATATTTACCTATATACACACATATTATTACGCATGTTGTTTGAAGTTAATTCACTTTTCATCAATTACATCAGTCCCGTTAATATTATGACAACGCCCTTATTGTCGACAATCACCTTAATCGAATCTATTTTCATAATATTAGTATATCTATCTATCCATCTTGCCTAAAAATATCCATTCATAATTTGGGAGTTACGACATTTTTCACCAGTCTTGCGTCGGACGCGCTTACGGCGTGACGCGTGGACGCTCTATGTACCAATTAGATGTGACGCGAAACATTTCGTAGATATTCAAAATTATTAAATTTATGTGTGATTAATATTATTATGTGAAGTTATCGGATTATTTTTCACTATTTTAAAAAGGTATGTGTTAAAATATTAAGACTTCAGTTTGATGTAGTTTTCCATAAACAAATTTAAATGAAATACAGTCGTAAAATTAACCTTATCTTTTCGGCTAACTGTTAAGAGT